CCCCAAAACCCCAAAACCCCAAAACCCCATCAGTGTAAATCAGAACCACTCATTAAACAAAACATCTGAATAATTGAAAGTACTTTACTAAAATAAATTAGTCAAGAGACTTAAGTAAAATGGTAAATTTGAATAACTACAAATGAAAGTTCTATCCATCATAATTTTACTAATAGGAGAGTTTTGACCCTATTTTGGATACTTCAATTCCAACTAAAAGATTATATCCTCTTAGGTAACAATAGAGTGAATCTGTGCCTCTTATTAAATCCATAAACACAGAGGGCATTCGCAAAAGGCTGAAGAGAGGAGTCCAAAATAATGATGATCCAGATATGTAAATTACACATTCGAAGTAAAATTTTATTAGTTTTGATAAGCAAGACAATTAAAAAGTTCAAAATAGTCTGAAAAGACAAGCATCTGAACCTTTGTAAAAGTTTACCAGACAGACGATCCCAATTCAATACGAAATCAAGTTAAAAAGAATTAATATTCCAAAGGTATGATCGATCTAGCTTCCATTATTCTGGATATTTATTTCCTTTGCTAGATCATTAAAATGATTGTTATGAGAATGCAAAATGAGAACAATGTTAAAGAGCTTATTAACTAAATGAGACAGATACATTAATTAGCCTAACAATAGCAAAAAGTATAGTTGCTAGTTGCTATATCTTTAACTTTTCTAGGATACTTCTGGATTGTTCAAATAGTTCCTACCTCGATTGAGAGGGGCTTAAATAGAAGGATTTGAAGGACCTAAAAAACTAAATATCAAATTGAACAAAAAAAGAGAGGAACATGGCTTGCCTCCTATCGATCTAGAGTAACAGAGCCAAGAAGATTTGAATTTAAGATTAAAAGACTAAGAGGAGCTCTTCATTTAACTTCTAAATTTAAATCTAGATGAAAGTCTTAAGATATAGAGACATCAATATGAGACTAGATAGATTAGATTGAAAAATATAAAAACTGCATAGTTTATCATTCCTTCTAAAGAAGCAATGGTCGAGCAAATAAGTCTCTCAGATTCACTACCATTTTTGGACTAATCTTAAGGAAATAGAAGAGACTAGTATTTGAAGTAGATGTAGGAACAGGCAAAAGCATAGATTGAATTCTATTATTAGGAGCTCTAAAACAATGATAGGACTATACCCTCAGTACATTTGTCTTAAGAAACAGCTGAAAACTTAGGAAATACTCCGACAGCGAATGGATTCGATCAAGATTTATTCAACAAGGCATTGAAGGAGTTATCACAAGTAAATGGAGAGACAATAGATTATTAAAATCTATCCATTTTGCTTTACATCACTTAGTATGCTATCTCTGACTTGAAAAACTCAAAGTCTAAAAAGCTTGACAACATTAAAAATATGAAGATAAATCCCTATGAATTGAAAGAAAGATTGAAGAAGATGATTGTTTGAAATTCAAACTACTAGGAGTATATTTTAAGAGTAATACTTTTAACTTAGTAGATAGTCGTTGTTGAATGTGGATTAATTAATTGATTTCATAATTAAATAGTGAGTGAATATGTAATAATTAAGAAAATTGAAAATCAATTAGCTAGATACATCATCATAAAGTAAATCATTTGCTTTTCTTTTCTTGATCTCTCTATTGTTGTCTTTTTGACTCTTCATCAATGCCTAGATATTTCTTTATTGTGTCTTGATAAAATAGCCCAGCGACAACTAGAATAAAGAGAACTGGACCAACCAGAGCGGTTCTTTGAATGTTAGACTTGCCCTTTTATTTTGAAGGGACTAGTAAATTTTGGAATCCTCCATTTAGGTTAGCTTAGAATACTGTTTGTTCGTATCTCTTATCACTAGCTCCTCTCTTTGGTACAACTCTTACTATGTATTATTTTCTTGGTAATTAACTGAATTAGAAATATCTTGAAAGCCCTAGTTACCATGTTCTTAAAGGTTAATCTAAGTTATCTGGGTCATATAATTCAACAACTGCTCTTGGATCTTCCTTGAAAACTGCTTTTTAATCTTCACCTTCGAATTCAACTGAACCTGATACTTCAATGAATGGTGATTGCATAATAGCTAAGAATTAATGATTCTTTGAATCTTCTTATCTCACATCTATAGTGAGTTAACTAGGAACTGTTCTATCGATTTCATCAGAGACTACAGTCAGATGATATTTGTTATTTGGAATCAAACCTCTAACTCTGAAAAATCCATCTTAGTCAACTTTAGCTTCTTCAGTTCTTTCACAATCAACACAAGAAGCAATAATTCTACCTTCAGTTAAAGGAAGACCACTGATCTTTGAGACTTGACCGAAGGCACTAAATTGTACTCTCTTACCAACAAGTTATTTTAATGCTTGGTCTCCATCCTTCAAATCAACTGCAAATGATGATGATCCGAAATCATATTCTTTCAAAATAGCAGTAACGTAGAATTTTCCAGCAAATAGACCAATGAATTTGTGTATTCCTTGAGCATTTGTTGAGCCAGTTTATCTGAATCCTTTACCAGCTGAGAGTTAAAGTGATACTAACTCAAGTGGTTCGCCGTTTTGATCTTAAATACTGACAGTTAAGGTGGAGAGTTTTTGAGATTTAAAGTTATATGAGGTACCATCTCTCTTGATAATGTAATCCTCTTTCGAAGCCTCTATTTCATATTGCTGATCATCATATAATGGGCCAACTTTATATTCTCCAGATCCATTTGAAGTAGTTTCCATGATTTCTTTCTTTGAATTTTTATTTAAAACCTTAATTAAAACTCCCTCAGTTGGTGGATCAATCTTTCCTGAGATAGTATATCCAGTCTTAGTTTCAAAAAGAATATTAGATATGCATTCGCCACCAACAGTAATTTTCTTGCTTGTAGGGTAGAATAATAGACTGGCATCTCCAGCAATTTATGGCTAAATAATGAGATCCTTGTCAACTGGTGAGTAGTACTCAAAGCTGTATTTAGTGCTTGTTTGCTTTGTTAATTTTAACTCATCAATATTTGATTAGTCTTAAGCTGAGAGCACTAGCATTTTAACCTGAGACATTTAACTTTCATCTTTCAAAATTACAAGCCCTTCAACCTTGATATGGGTTGGCTTGAAACTAACTACTTTATTGTCTTAGCTGCTTGTGTCAAAGGTGAATTTTTCTTGTTCAAACTTGTAGCAAGTATCTGGACTAAGAGTATAGCTTCCTCTTTGATCAAAGCAAAGGTGATGATTCTTGCCTTTTTGAATTCTCTTCTTATCTATTTGGCTTCCCTTACCTTTCTTAACAAATAGATCAAAGGAGTGAGTCGACTCATAAGGCATTTAGTATCCAACTTATTCAAAAATTATCTCTCTATTTTGATCGTCTTGAGCATTAACTTAGTATGAATCAACTTTCCAACAGTATTCTGGTACATCTACTGAAACCTTATATTTTCCTGGGAGCACTTTTTCAAATCTAAAGATACCCTTATCATTTACAGTTTCACTGGATAATAACTTGTCTTAGCTGTGGAGATGAACTTTGATGTTTTGGCATTTTTTATCCTCTTGCTCAAGGCATTATACTCTTCCTTGAATTGTTACTTTAGTTTGGCCAAAGTTGACATTCAAAGCAGGGGTACCATCAATGCTAATCTATTTATCAGCAGGGTTGAACTTAAGACCTCTTTCCTTTTCCTCTTAAGACACAGCTGGGGTGATAGTATATTGACCAGACTTTACTTCAAAGCAATAATCTCCATTTTCATTGGTAGTAGTTCTTCTTTCATTCTTGTTTTTTTCAACCAAAATAATTGTTCTCTTTGCAATTGAGAATGATTATCCTGCTTCCAAATTGTCGACCGAAATCTTACCACAGAGGTGATAGTCAGAAGCAATAAGATTTGGAATAGATCTACTGTTTGATTGAATGTTGATAGTCATGGAATCAAAAATATAATGGTTTGCAAAACCCTCAAGAATATATTGGCCTGGAGTGATTTCGTCAAGCTTATAAAGTCCCTTGTCATTGGTAAGTGCTTTTTGTTGTCCATCAATAACAATCTTAACACCACTAATACCCTCACCTTTGTTGTTTACAGCTTTTCCAGAGATTGAGAATCCAATAACCTGGAATGGCTCTAGTTAAATAAGTTCAGCATCAACAACTACTTTGATTGTATCAGGTTCTACTTAGAACTTAGATTGATTTTCACTGTAAACAGCAACAACTTGATATGAGCCAGATTGAATATCAGTAAATTTGTATACACCTTAGGGGTCTGTTTTTACTGATTTCAAAGCATCCTTTGCCTTTTCTTAAATTTTCTAATCACCTTAATGAATATATACGCTAACGTTTGGCATTGGATCATTGTAGTTTAAGATTTTCCCGGAGACTGAGAATCCTGAAATCACAAAGCTATCTTGTTCACATTTGAATCCTGTTTCCCATTCAAATTGACAATTAATCTATTCCTGCTTGAGTGTTAGGTCTTCATTCGGAATAATTCTTAGGGAATAAGTATCTGGGATTGAGATATCCTTGAATTCTACAACACCGTTCTCGTCTGTTTGTTGAACATTGAAAGGAACCTTAGAATTTTTTCCCATTCTAGTAATCTCAACTCCTAGTCCTTTAGGGCCATTCACGTGTTTGCCTTATTAATTAAGTGCCTTAACTCCAAACTTTAGTGAGAATCCCTTAAGTCTAAATGCTAAATCATCACAGTTTCCACCCTTTTTGGTATCTACAACATATTCTGCTGGCTCAAAGACTGAACCTTATGGGCCTCTCATTCTTACTGAGAAATTATCAAGGTTGTAAACTACTACGAAGCAATTGCCATCTGGAGTACACTGTGATTGCTCTTATTTAGCACCTGATTGAGAGTATACATCGAGGTACATCTTATCAAATGAGACCTGAGACTCTTCACTTTGCAAGTCAATATGTGCGTTGCAATTAATTTCACTGCTAGTTACTGAAGATAGAGTGAGTAATGAAGTGGCTAGAGAAAGTAATATCTTTGCTTTCATATTAAATAATATTTATTTAAGAATACTTCTAGTTTATTAAACACGCTCACTTTAGAAATTTTACTGTAGGGGTTTTGGGGTTTTGGGGTTTTGGGG